GATGTTAGAGAAGCATTTTTCTAAGCTATAAACAAGAAATTTACATCAGAATTTTGTATTCTCAAACTTCAGTCATTCATGTTTCACCTGCTCAATTTTTTCCATGTCCATGTATCATTATTTACTTCATGCTTTTTCCTTAACTGTTTGCTTTAAAAAAAAAAAGTTCTGTCTTAAGTAAAAATATTCATGAATCAGATCTGATGTTACATTTTACAACATATAATTTACAACCATGAAAATAAAACTATGTACTATATATATTTTTATATGTTGTGCGCTTTATGAGTCTGGATTAGATGATTTCTGAGGTTCCTCCTGATTTCTGAGGTTCCTCCTAAAATAACATACTGTCATTTTGTGTTAGTTTCTCTACCTCAGCAATTTAGTTGTTCACTAAAGAACACTGGATCAGTGCCACAAGGCACTTAACCATAATCTTGTAACCATAAAGAAAGAAGTGCCATGAGGGAATTTCCTGGCGGTCCAGTGGTTAGGACTTGGTGCTTTTACTCCATGGCCTGTGCTCAATCCCCGGTTGGGGAACTAAGATTCGGCAAGAGCCGCACAGCCTCCTCCCTGCCCCGCCCCCCCGCAAAAAAAAGTGCCATGATATTATGCTTTAAAATTTTCTAAATTCAGCACTGCTGTTAGACAGAAATTTATAAAATATTTACAGGGTATAGAAGCGAGTGATGTGGTGGGTATACGGTATGAAAGGATTAAGTTATTTTAAACACAGTTTGGAGAATACAGAGAAGGAAGAATTCAAGAAAAAAAATCCACTCTCACCTGGCTAATTGGGAAAATTTTAATCTTTTGAGACTTTCTGAAAATCCAAACGAGGTGTGGAAGAGTTGCACAGAGGAGGGTAATCAGTCATAGAATATAGTTTGAGCAATATGTTTTTTAAAAAAACATAATGCTATAGCAGAGAAGTGGTAACCCTAAATAAAACGTGCAGGGTAGGCAAGAAAAGAGAATTCAATAGTCTCAGATTTCAGCCAACTAAAATCTAAAACATCATGGTAAATGGTCTTTAGGCAGAGGATCAAAAAACAAAAAACAAAAAACACTACCCACCAGAAATTACATTTCTGTGTTATTTTAGTATGATTCCAATTCCTAATCTCAGCTTATTCTGAGAATAAGGGCAAAAGTATCAATGATTTCAACTGTAATGTTTTTCAGTAGTGGACAGTATCTGGATAAGATATTTAAAAACTAGAAAACATTTTTTATTCAAAACATACTTTTCATTAAATTTTTCAATGTGTAATTCATTCAGCTCAATATTTTTAGCAAGAAAAAAATTATCCAGGTCATATTTGTTTGCCTATTTAAAACTCAAAATAAACAAAAACTTAAAGGTTGTGACAACAAAAATCCCCCTAAAAAAGTATCTAAATAGTCATACCTTTTAAAGTATGGGATTAAGACTAGTAGATGACACAATGTTCCTATTTAGCAATGTGAGAAAATTGTTTCTTTTTACAGTGAAGAAATTACTTTTCATAAATGTGATTTATTTTGGGTTCAGGTAGTTACCAGTTTAATACCAAGGTTACTAAGGAGAATGAACTTAACAAGGAAGTTGTGGTGATGCTTTAATATGGAAAAACCTTTATATAGAAAATTATTTTTCAAATCACTAGTATGAAGTAGACTCCAAGCAACTAACAGACTATTAATATTTTGTTTTTTAAACTTACAAATTGAGCATATAACTTCATGTAATAAACATGTAAATTACATGTGACTTTTAGCTTTGTGAATTTACATTTTACACCATAAGTGTACATACACATTTCTTTCTCTTAGATTTGACTGTTGTCTTAAAAGATTAATTTATGGAAAGCTAAACCAATATATGGTATATTTGTAAATCCATAAACTCAATGCCATGAATAATTCTTGTAGATACTCTATCTTCAGTCATCAGAACTTGAGTTACAAAGGAATATATATTCAAAAGTTCATTTTTAATTTATAGGGATGAGACTGTTAATCATAGGGAGAAACTGACTAGCCAGATTTGCTTCTCTGTTGGGATTTACAGTTAGTTAAACTATTTATTTTCAATTAAATAAAAAGTACTGATTCTTTTAAGCCAATCTGCTTCTCAAGAGGATTGTGGCTATTTGATACGTATTTTTTTCTTTTGGCTGTGCCGCACGTCTTGGGGCATCTTTGTTCCCCACCAGGGATCTCACTCGTGCCCCCTGCCGTGGACGCATGGAGTCCTAACCACTGGACTGGCAGGGAATTCCCATGGCTATTTGATTTTTATTAGCTTTTTCAAATTTATGTCACTTATAGTGCTTTTAAGTCATGAAAATTCCATCAAAAATTAATCACAGTAGTTTGGGGAGTATATTAACCTGCTTGTAAAAGGTAAGACTGGGAGAACAAGCTGAGTAAGATTAACTGCAAATTGCCAGGAATTAAGTAATTCAATGCTTTGAAAGTCAGATTTAAAAACTAGGAATAGTGTTAGTTTATTGGGGAAAAACAAAACACCACTGGCTACACCTGCCAATAATTCAGCAATCACCTAACAGGCTACAGACCCTGTGAAACAGAAACTGGTTAATATGTGATGATACAAACTCAGAGGAATGAGAAAGGTGATTTAAAATGGTAAAACTGGCAAATTCACAAGCAGGAAATTTACAAATTTACAAGCTTTTGAGTACCACACAATCATTTTCAAATAACATGAACTGCAAAGTGAAGATGAAAAAAAAAGATCCATCACTACTGTTCACTACTGCCAAGAATTCTATTGTAGTGCTAATAAACATCACCATCTGTTACGTATTCTCGAGTCACAAGAGTGCAGTGGAAATGTCTGTCTTTGTGCAGAAAAAATCTAGAAGCAATTAGAAAATTTTCTTTTTAAGTAGGTTTGTTTTTCCAAAGAAGTTCATTTAGCTAAAAATATAGACTTGCTACCTCAGCAATTTATGGTCAGTCATAGGCTTATTTGAAAGCTGAGTCAAAGCAAAAAGGTTTTATTGGACAAACTGTCAGTGAGATGTGGCCTCAAGCTGCAGATTCAGCAAAAAAGCACTAAATTATATGGTTCTAAAACTTGGATTTAATACCTCTGGAGTAGTTGCATTACAATCTCTAATTTGATTACTAACACCTGATCAAAAGTAAAGCTGTAAAATACACAATTAAAAAAAAAACCCCAGGCATTATTTATTTAAGGTTTGTTTCCTGAAAATCAAATTCCTGAAGCTGGATGTATATTAAAAAATTATAGACAGAATTACCAAGAAGGTAGTTGAATGGCTAGGTTACGTAGTTATGAAAAACATCCCAAGGACAAACCTTAGATTTTTATGTAACATGGTGTAATGGAAACATAACTACACTGGAAGCCAAATAACTTGGATTCCACTCCTGTCTGCTATAACTGGTTTTGGGACCCTGGCCTAATAATAACCCTAAGTTTCTGTTTCTGTAAGAAACTTAGAAACCTAGAGGGTGTAGACCAGATGGTTTCTAATGTTTTCTTACAATTTCATTATAATTTTAAATCTTCTAAGAAACATTTACATCAGACAGCTCTACCTGGAATGTGATAATCAGATAGAATGGTAGTTTTTAGGAATACAGGTATGCATATATAACAAAATGGTGGAAATAAAAATGATTGGTTTTGAAAAACTTGTTGCTGCCACCATTCTCAAAACAGACTCAATTCCCATGGGTCTTGAAGTAAAAAAACCACTGTGGGTCATAAATCAGTCTTTTCAACTACATCAATATTTCTGAACGACAATATAGTTAGTGACAGTGTTTATTATATTTGAGGTCAATGATGCACAAAATGCTATCTCCTTGATACTATAAAAAGCTGTTACTGAATTGTAGTTGTGCCTCTCCCTCACTCCCCTCAGTTCATATGTTGAAGTCCTGGGCCCCAGTACATCAAAATATGAACTTATTTGGGTATAGTGTCTTTATCAAGTTAAAATGAGGTTATCAGGGTGGGCCCTAATCCAATTACTGGCTGGTTCCTTGTAAAAGGGGCAAAGTTGGAAACAGACTTGCACTCAGGGAGAAGATGATGTGAACATGAAGATAGCCACGTACAAGCCAAGGAGAGCAGCGGGGAACAGATCCTTCTCTCACAGCTCTCAGAAGGAATCAACTATGCTAATATTTCAATTTTGAATTTCTAGCCTCTAGAACTGTGAGGCAATAAATTTCTAATGTTTAAGCCACTCAGTTTGTGATAATTTGTTATGGTAGCCACAGGAAACTAATATAGAAGATTGATTTACCACTATCAAAAGTAATCTATACATTTTCATACAGCAACCCCTATCTCCCACATCTTCCTATTTCTATTTTAATACTTCAGTGGGTTTTCTCAGAAAATAATTTGGTATCAGAAGTTCGGGCATGACTTCGCAGTTGCATAACTATACATGAAATGTGAACAGATTATAAATAACCTGTTTATTCATTTATAAATGAGTTATGAAATGTTACTTTATTGTCGAACCCCTTACCAGTTTCTCCCCATTTAAAATTATTTAGCACACAGATGGGGTTAAAATAGAGTGAGAATTAAAAAAAGACTGCCAAGAAAACCAGATCTCTCCTTCTTACCATAACGCTGGCCTCCTAGTGTCACTGAAAGAATCACACAGATGGGGAGTTCACTGATTGCCTTGGGGATAATAATTGTTGGGGAATGCAAAAGGAGGGTCTGGATCTTATTAATGGGAGTATCACTGGACTTAGGTGCGTATTATGTTGCACTTTAGTTCTGGTAGTACAGTACTTTAACGACTTTATACATGAAAAACTGATCTTGTTTTGAGTTTAAAGAAGAAAAAGTTTACAGCACCTATGTTTATGGAAGGAAAACTACAGTCTAACTTCTTCAGTACATCTGTTTCTTATCGATTTATGAAATCAGAGAACATGCCAGACGACGATAGTCACCAAAAGCGGTTAAAACTACCAACTACAATACATTGAAAATACCACATTTAGGATACAATTATATACTGAAAAAGGTAGCAATGCCAAGAAAAAAAGTTTAAGAAGATCTTGTTAAAGACAGTTCTCATAAGTTGTGTTTAAAATCATCCATTTTAACATCTGCAAAAAAGTCAAATTTATTATTTTACATCAACATTATGGAAGTTAAAGAGAACAATCAAGTTGTCTCATGGACTGGAAGGTGACTTATTAATTCCCTTTCATTTCCAAACCTCATTAAGCAGTCACTACATTTATGAGGTAAATCAGCCGAATGCTTGAAATCTAGATGAATTTTAAGATCTTCAATCTGTCCTGTTGAATATTCACAATATTGACATAAATAAATCCCTTCAGATAAATGTGAATTTAAATGTTTGCAATATTCTAGCATGCTTGAAAAGCCTTTCCCACAGTCATCACAAACATGAGGAAAAATTTTAGTATGTTCAATAGCAACATGCCTGTTAACATTTGTATGAAGTCTACTCCGAAACCCACATACTTGACATACAAAGAAGTTTTTACATTTGTCAAATGTAATTTTGCTTAAGAGGCTGTACTGTCCATGTTCTCCATTGTTATACTTATCACTTAACTCTATTAATTTACATGCATGCTCATTTACCACATGGCTATGCAAGTCTTCTGGATCATTCGTTTCATGTTCACAGAACTGACACAAGTACTGTTCATCACAGCTGTGCTCCTGGAAATGTAGGTAGAGTTCACTGCTTGAGGAGAACTGTACATCACACTGCTCACACCAATAAAGGTGATCACTAAAATGGGTATCTGCAATGTGCTGGCTGAGGTTCTCAAAAATTACTGTCTTATAATCACAGTATTTACAAATGTAGGGATCCTCTTCATGCAGTTTGGCATGTTCGATCAGGAGCATGTTGGTAGAGAAACTTTCTTTGCATACTCGACAGACATTTGAATCAGTACGCTTATGCTTCAAGATCATATGCTGCTTTAAATCAGAAAAATATTTGCTGTTGAACTCACAAAGTTCACATTTATAGAGGCCACTGCTATTAGCTCTCAGTAAAGGCCATTTCTGCTGGGCAGTCACATTAAAAGCTTGGCTCTTGTCAAGAATTTTGCAAAGTTTAGCTGGTGGCTCTTCATCAGTTTGGTCTTGAAGACTCTCAGAGGAATTGTTTTCTGTCTCTATATCATAATCTTCAGAAATTGCATGCACTTCCGCAGCAATTGGAACATCTTCAGCAGTGTGAACTTCTATAGGGCTCTCCTCTTGAGTCTGCTGGTTGACTGATTCAGGGGAGTCGCACTCTTCATCACAAATTTCAATATCAGCAGATTTTTCTAAATAAAACAAGGCTATTATTATTATTATTAAATAAGATCTACTAAATAAGTCACTGGCAAAAAGAAATTTATTTTACTTATTATTTTTTCACTGATCTATACAAAATGTGCAAATTCTATTAATTACTTTCCCTTACCTGTAGAAAAGGCAGTGTGATCTAGAATTCTAAGTACAGGACTGGGAACCAGGTAGTTTTGATTTCTGTTTCTGGCCTTGATTCCATCTGTAAATTTTGGCAAGTGATTTGATGTCTCTGTATCAGAATCATCATCTGTGAAAAGGGATTTGGAAAAATATTTATTATTTATATAAAAGCATTAAACATTATTATAAAACAAAGCACAAATGTTTTTAAATATAATTTAGAATTCCAACAGAACTAAGGACTTAAATTTAGCTATGAAAAGCTTTGTTATCTGCGTACCACAGATACACAGAAAATCTGTCCAAACAAGCAACTACTTTTGCTTCCATGCCCTATTTGGACTAGAATACACTTTTTAAAGTTACTTAGGAATTTTAACTTGAAATTACTGAGTCTGAGTAAGTCTTTATTCCCTCAGCTCAGCCCTAATGTGTGTTTATTTTTTAACACTTTAATTGGAATATAATTGCTTTACAATGGTGTGCTAGTTTCTGCTGTATACAGTGAATTAGCTATACATATACATATGTTCCCATATCTCTTCCCTCTTGCATCACCCTCCCTCCCACCCTCCATATTCCACCCCTCTAGGTGGTCACAAAGCACCGAGCTGATCTCCCTGTGCTATGAGGCTGCTTCCCGCTAGCTATTTTACGTTTGGTAGTGTATATATGTCCATGCCACTCTCTTACTTTGTCACAGCTTACCCTTTCCCCTCCTCACATCCTCAAGTCCATTCTCTAGTAGGTCTGTGTCTTTACTCCCATCTTCCCCTAGGTTCTTCATACCATTTTTTTTTTCTTTTTAGAGTCCATATATATGTGTTAGCATACGGTATTTGTTTTTCTCATTCTGACTTACTTCACTCTGTATGACAGACTCTAGGTCAATTCACCTCACTACAAATAACTCAATTTCGTTTCTTTTTATGGCTGAGTAATATTCCATTGTATATATGTGCCACATCTTCTTTATCCATTCATCTGTCGATGGACACTTAGGTTGCTTCCATGTCCTGGCTACTGTAAATAGCGCTGCAATGAACATTGGGGTACACATGCCTTATTTATTTATTTATGGCTGCATTGGGTCTTCATTGCTGTACGCGGGTTCGCATTGCGGTGGCTTCTGTTGCGGAGCACGGGCTCAGGTGTGTGGGCTACAGTAGCTGTGGCTCGAAGGCTCTAGGGCACAGGCTCAGTAGTCGTGGCGCACAGGCTTAGTTGCTCCACGGCATGTGGGATCTTCCCGGACCAGGGCTCGAACCCATGTCTCCTGAATTGGCAGGCGGATTCTTAACCACTGCACCACCAGGGAAGCCCATGTGCCCTTTTGAATTATGGTTTTCTCAGGGTATATGCCCAGTAGTGGGATTGCTGGGTCATATGGTAGTTCTATTTTCAGTTTTTTAAGGAACCTCCATACTGTTCTCCACAGTGGCTGTATCAATTTACATTCCCACCAACAGTGCAAGAGGGTTTCCTTTTCTCCACACCCTCTCCAGCATTTATTGTTTGTACATTTTTTGATGATGGCCATTCTGACTGGTGTGAGATGATATCTCACTGTAGTTTTGATTTGAATTTCTCTAATGATTAATAATGTTGAGTATTCTTTCATGTGTTCATTGGCAATCTGTATATCTTCTTTGGAGAAATGTCTAATTTAGGTCTTCTGCCCATTTTTGGATTGGGTTGTTTGTTTTGATATTGAGCTGCATGAGCTGCTTTAAAATTTTGGAGATTAATCCTTTGTCAGTTGCTTCATTTGCAAATATTTTCTCCCATTCTGAGGGTTGTCTTTTCGTCTTGTTTATGGTTTCCTTTGCTGTGCAAAAGCTTTTAAGTTTCACTAGGTCCCGTTTTTGTTTTTATTTCCCTTTCTCTAGGAGGTGGGTCAAAAAGGATCTTGCTGCGATTTATGTCATAGTGTTCTACCTATGTTTTCCTCTAAGAGTTTGATAGTGCCTGGCCTTACATTTAGGTCTTTAATCCATTTTCAGTTTATTTTTGTGTATGGTGTTAGGGAGTGTTCTAATTTCATTCTTTTAATGTGGCTGTCCAGTTTTCCCAGAACCACTTATTGAAGAGGCTGTCTTTTCTCCATTGTATATTTTTGCCTCCTTTATCAAAGATAAGGTGACCATATGTGCGTGGGTTTATCTCTGGGCTTTCTATCCTGTTCCATTGATCTATATTTCTGTTTTTGTGCCAGTACCATACTGTCTTGATTACTGTAGCTTTGTAGTATAGTCTGAAGTCCAGGAGCCTGATTCCTCCAACTCCGTTTTTCTTTCTCAAGATTGCTTTGGCTATTCGGGGTCTTTTGTGTTTCCATACAAATTGTGAATATTTTTCTTCTATTTCTGTGAAAAATGCCATTGGTAGTTTGATAGCGATTGCATTGAATCTGTAGATTGCTTTCGGTAGTAGAGTCATTTTCACAATGTTGATTCTTCCAATCCAAGAACATGGTATATCTCTCCATCTATTTGTATCATCTTTAATTTCTTTCAGCAGTGTCTTATAATTTTCTGCATACAGGTCTTTTGTCTCCTTAGGTTTATTCCTAGGTATTTTATTCTATTTGTTGCAATGGTAAATGGGAGTGTTTTCTTAATTCCACTTTCAGATTTTTCATCATTAGTGTATAGGAATGCCAGAGATTTCTGTGCATTAATTTTGTAACCTGCTACTTTACCAAATTCATTGATTAGCTCTAGTAGTTTTCTGGTAGTGTCTTTAGGATTCTCTATGTATAGTATGTCATCTGCAAACAGTGACATCTTTACTTCTTCTTTTCCAATTTGGATTCCTTTTATTTCTTTTTCTTCTCTGATTGCTGTGGCTAAAACTTCCAAAACTACGTTGAATAATAGTGGTGAGAGTGCGCAACCTTGTCTTGTTCCTGATCTTAGTGGAAATGGGTTCAGTTTTTCACCATTGAGGATGATGTTGGCTGTGGGTTTGTCATATATGGCCTTCATTATGTTGAGGTAAGTTCCCTCTATGCCTACTTTCTGGAGGGTTTTTATCATAAATTGGTGTTGAATTTTGTCAAAAGCTTTCTCTGCACCTATTGAGATGATCATATAATTTTTCTCTTTCAATTTGTTAAAGCCCCAGTGTTTTAAAGTTAACATGGACAAGCTGAAATGCCAGCCAGTAGAGAAAACTGCACGTCAATGTCAGGTCTTTATGTTTTAGAAGTTTCAGATTTACAGAAAAAAAAAAGAAAAAAGAAAGACAGTACAGAGAATTCCCATATATCCTCTATTCAGTTTCTCCACTCTTAACATCTTACGTTAATATTTGTTACAATTAATGACCAATACTGGTAAGTTGTTATTAACTGAAGTCCATACTTCATCCAGATATCCTTGGTGTTTACATAATGTCCTTTTTCTGTTCCAGGATCCCAATCAGGATACATACCATTTAGTTGTCATGTCTCTAGGCTACTGTTAACTGTGGTAGTTTCTCAGACTTCCCTTGTTTTCGAAGACCATGACAATTTGAGGAGACTGGTAAGGTATTTTGCAGGATGTCCCACTAATGAACTTTGGTTTTTTTTCATGATTAGACTGGGATTATGGATTATTGGGAGGGAAACACAGAGGCAAACTGTCAATTTTTATCGTATCATATCAAGAGTACATACTATTAACTTGGTTTATCACTGTTGACGTTGAACTTGATAACTGGGGTATTTATCAGGTTTCTTCAATGTAAAGTCACTCTTTTACTTTCCATACTCTATGCTTGGAATTAAGTCGCTAAGTGCAGTCCATACTTTAGGAGTGGAAAGTTATGCTCCACCTCCTTGAGTGAGGAGTATCTATATAAATCATTTGGAATTCTTCTGTACAGATTTGTTTCCTTTCCCTTAAATCAGCCATTTCTCCAAGAAGCCCTTGTTCCTTTTATTGGAAAATGGTATTAGAAACCAAGATCTGGATACTAGATGTGCTCATTGCTACTGGGCTGTCATTTCTGCTTAGGCCCCCTCAGCTAACACAGCAAATAATATGTGCATGTACACTACCACGTATATATAGATATACCCATAAATGTTTCTGTATGTAACCATTTGTGTCTATATTAAGCCAAACATGAGTTCATACTGATGTCTCTGACTCTGCATGTTCTTTTCTTAAAATTTATTTATTTTTATTTTTTATTATTTTTTAAAAATATTTATTTATTTGGCTGCACTGGGTCTTAGTTGCAGTACGTGGGATCTTTCAGTTGCGGCATGCAGTCTCTTAGTTGCAGCGTGTGGGATCTAGTTTCCTGACCAGGGATTGAACCCAGGCCTCCTGCACTGGGAGCACGGAGTCTTAATCACTAAGCACCAGGGAAATCCCTGCATGTTCTTTAAATAATTTATGTATCTGTGCCTATAATAGGAGCTCACGGGAACTGGGAGTTTTGATTATTGCAGAGGAAGAAGAGAACAAATGCAAGTTACTATTCATCTTATGCTCTAGAAAAGAGGAGTCAATAGAAGATACAAGATTGAAAATGACCAAATCCTTCACCCTCTGTTCTTTCCTTCCATTAGCCCTCCAGACTGAAAGGTATAGCTGAGTGGAAGAACTGTGTGTAACAGTATTCTTTACCTTTCATCATAAATGGTCCAAACTCTGGGTCATTCCTGCTTTGCCACTGATTCCTAGCTGATTAAAATTGATTTAGGAGGATCTGTTTTTGATTTATATCTCTGAAATAATGTTAAAAATTAAAATTCACTTTCTTACACAAAACTCTTTTGTTTTCTTAAGTTTAAACACTTGCCCATTTTGAAATCATCACTTTCACCCACATTTTCAAAAATGAAATGAAAAATTATAAAAGCAACTTAAAGAAAAATATTTTGGAAAATTTAGATATACCTTTGTTGTCAAAATATTTTAAGTCTGGTTGTCTCATAGAACAAACACTATAACAATGATCAGAAAAAATGCCATTGAATCCATCTGCAATTCTGCTTATTCCAGAGGAATCTGAAAACAAAATTTTAAAAATTTCAAGCATACTGAACATATATACATTTAATGACAGCAATCTCTTTATCCAACATATATAAAATTTCATAGTATTTGTAATAAAGTATATTTCCCTCAATTCTCAAGGCTTTTATAATTCAGATATGACACTGACTTTGAGCTTTGAAAGAATCATAAATTATACAATTTAAAATATAATACTTTGAAGCACACAAAGATACAATTGCCTTGGTCAGAATCCCACAAAATATAAATATGCAATATATATGTTAATTGCAAAAAACAAAAATAACAAACCAAAAAAACACATTGAATTAAATACCAAGAAGATCTGCCATGTACTGTAGGAAAAGCATAACACATAGGGGAAAGTCTGAGGACCAGTTAGGACTCTGAATACAGTCATTTCAACTCTTGCCTGGGAAGTGCCAGTAAGCAGTAAACCAGGCTTAATTTCCTCAGATACGAAAAATGTGTAGGTTGGGTTGGTTAACAGGTATACCTGAGACTGCCCCAAGTATATGCATGTGAGTTGCATTTGTTACAGACGGCCAAAGACATCTTATTTGCCAAGACAGCAGAGCCAACCTCAAAGAAAGGATCTAAAATTACACAATCAAAAAGAAATTCATATTTCTGAAAATAATGTACAAGATAAAGTATTTTCCCAATGATGCAAAATATCTTCCACCAAGGTTATTGCTGTGCCTTAAGCACAAGCTTGGGAATCACACAGGCAAATATCAATTATGCTGTACAAGTATGTAACCTCGGATACCTAATTTTAAATATCTATAAACCACGAAGTTGTGAGGAATAAACAATGTCTGTAAAGTTCTGATGTGTGCTTAGCACATGGCAGACATTGAGAAATATATATTCAGAGAATTTATTTAAAGTTTACTCTTACCTAAAAGTTGACCCAGATATTTAACTCTTATCAAATAGATCATTTATGAGAAAATGATGGAAACACAACTGCATGAGAATACATGGCCTAACTTTTAAATAATTTAATCACACACTGACCTGAATAACGAGAAGGGTGTAAAGTCTTCCTTTTTCTTTTTTTTGGATATTCATTCATATCTTTTTAATCTAAAAATGGAAAAATTTAACAAATATATCACAACTGTTAATACTGTTATAAAATTTTCTTCTAACCAAATAATTTATTGGCAATAGGAAGTATGTGTGCCACATGAAAATCCACTTCATAAGAGAAATGTTAAACAATCCTTCTGCTTACATTTTGGATTTATTTTTCTGATCAAGTTTAAAGGCAGGACACCAAGTTCTGTTTTCTTTCTTACTGAGATCGAGAACTCCTTTTCAAATGTGGATGTAATCGTGAAAACTGGATAATAACATAAGCCTTATGCTTAATTTTTTATAGAAGACAAATTGTGCATATGGCACCAAATTAAGGGTTTTACAGGTACATTTCTTAGAGTTGGGAATATTTTGATGCAGTTTTGAAGCCACAGGTAGATAGATTCCCTCAAAAAAATACTGTCACAAATCTGTATTGATGCCCTGGCTTCAGAAAAAACAAAAACCCAAAAAAAAACAAAACTCATTGTATAGAAGCTCAGAATATAACTTTCAAGAAAAAAATCCTTTTCTGACTTATGAGGTCACATTCAACATTCCGTCGAGAACAAAAGAGTATGGCAGCCACTGAATGATTAAATTCCGACAGACTGTTATAGAATTGACTAATTAGTTTTACTACATCCCACTTACTTGGTATAATTCTTAATACTGGAGTGAGGAAAAATGAATTACAGGAAGTTTTCACAGATGGTAAAAAAAAAATGCCTGTAGAAAAAAACATGACAAAAGTCTTATGAGCAAAAATGTAGTTCATTTCTGAGACACAAGAATATAATGGTGGGCTTCCCTCGTGGCACAGTGGTTAAGATTCTGCCTGCCAATGCAGGGGACATGGGTTTGAGCCCTGGTCCGGGAAGATACCACATGCTGTGGAGCGACTAAGCCCATGTGCCACAACTACTGAGCCTGCGCTGAGCCCTCGAGCCATAACTACTGAGCCCGCGTGCCACAACTACTGAAGCCTGTGCGCCTAGAGCCCATGCTCCGCAACGAGAAGCCACTGCAGTGAGAAGCCTGCACACTGCAACGAAGAGTAGCCCCCACTCATTGCAACTAGAAAAAGCCTGTGTGCAACAACAAAGACCAAACGCAGCCCCAATAAATAAATAAATAAAATTAGTTTTTTAAAAAAAGAATATAATGGTACCAGATCTTAGTCAACTAGAAAGCTATACAGAATTAACTCAAGTACAATATTCTTTTGAACATACTGTATTAAGTACTAAAACTTGTATAAATCTATAAATATGTGACTATATGTAAATCTGTCACGTTTCGTTGAAATGAATTTATCTTCTAAAGCTATAGTTGTATCTTAACACCAAAATAGGAATATAAATCTCATTAATTTATTTAGCCACAGTGAAAGCCAATATAATGCAAGCCAACTCCAAATTAGACTTTAAACTGTTTAAATCCTTATAGATTATTTAATAAAGTATAATGATCATTTGAGCACCAATTATGTACCATGCTGTTGTGTACATTATTTTATTTAACCCTATAATTTGCAAAATCCACAACACTCTCAAAATCGCTATTCTTTACCCTTTGTTACTGATGAGGAAACTGAGGCATAGATTTAAGTCAGGGGAATACTTAATAAGTGACAGGGCTGGGATTTGAACAAAGATCTAACTGATTTTGAAGACCATGCTTTCAATCCCTTTATTTTAGTTGTGGAAACAAATAGGGAGACAAAGTGATCACCCCAATTCAAGTAATAGATTAGTGTCAGAATCAGAACTGCCTACTCCATTTCAGATTAGTGCTCTTTCCACTGTAGCATTGGGAAAGTAAGGAATGTCAGGGAAAAAAATGCATCGTGACGTCTTCTCTACCAGCTTATAAACTGCTTTTCTTATCACCACGGTGATATACTATATAGCAGGTAGAACTTGGCATCATTACTAAGACCATCTCATTTCTAGTGGTAAGGAACTTGAGGTGAACATACTATTTTTGCTGTTTCACTAAGTTCTGGGTATATCAGCACTACATGTGCTGTTATACTACACTTATAGTGCTGCTGAGTTTATTGCAAATTTTCCTTATTTTATTTGATCTTCACAACAATCCTGTGAAGTACATAGAAGGGCTACTATCAAATCCACTCCAATATTACTGATGAGGAAACAAACTCAGGGTAAGTCAAGTCAACAAAGTAGCAGAACCAGAGATGAAAAAGCATGTCTTCTGACTTCTGGGTTTTGAGCAACTAACTGTGTGAGTAAATCTTCATTTCTAATCAGTGATACGAGAAAGTTACGTCTTGCTTCCAGTTCTTACTCAGCCACCAATTGGGAGGAGGGGGAAGGGAATCACCCAAAGAAATTGACAACCATGATTTACAGAAATGGTATCAATATATATAATGCCTCACCTAACAACACAAATAGCATTCCTTGAGCCCACCCCCATCAAGTGCATTAAAAAATAAAAAAAAGAAAAGCTGTTTTCATATTTATGTAATAAACTATAAAATCTCAAGACTTATTCCTAATGCCTTTTGTACACTTCCAGAATTTACACAGCTAAAACCTTTATACTTCATGTTCTAAATGTTCTACAAGTATCAGATAGAACACTGAAAACTGTCAGCCGAGCATGTTAAACACTTCAAATTCTTTCAAAAAAACAAGAAAAGGAAACCAACCACGGCATTAGAATTAATGTTAAGCTGGCCTGGATTCAGATGTCAGGTGGAAGGAATAGGATCACCTTGATCAGGAATTGTTTGACTCCTACTTAGGGCTAAACAATATCCAAATGCTCACCAGACCTCCTTTAAGCCAAGATGGTAAAATGCCCACTCAAGACCAAAAATGCTAACCATCCTTCATTTCAGCAAATGTTTTTAAGTGCCTTTTGTATGTATAACTGCCCTGATGAAGAAGTTTGGCTTTTTTACTTAGGTATGTCACATACACATTTGCTCACTAGTCCTCCTTTCACTGGGAAGATTCTGAACATGCACATGCACCTTTTAACTCAACTCCCCTTCCTCACTTAAAAACAAACTACAGATGTAATATATGTCACTGCAGTAAAATTAGAAAAAAATTAAAATGAATTGAATCACTAAGAATCTATTCATCCAGAAAAACCAATGTTAACATTTTGGTGCATACACATCTAGACATTTTTCTCATTCTAAGGTATTCACAAATATTTTACGTTTACAGAAAGAAAATCATGCCATCCAAAACATTTTTTTTTAAAAAGCAACTTACAAGACACTCATCAGCATCTTTCCACCTGTCATTTTTTTTCAACAATAAAAATGTCTAAGTACAAAACATACTACAGATAATAGGCAGTCAGCACTTACATCAAAGAGTTCAACCTTTCTAAGGCCTTTCATGCAATGTAAATATTCTCTTTCTAATTGGTATAAACATAAGACAAGCATTTACAATAAAAAGCTACAGTTTTCTTCTAAAGAGTTTTAAAAGCACGTTCTTTTTCACCTTCATTTTGAAACAAGTATATATTTTCCAGATTTTAAAAGAAATGAAACACAAAAATGCCACAGGAAAACTTGAACTAGAACCGACACTGTATGTCCAATTTAGTGTCAGTCTTTGCTTTATCTCTTTGCTAAGAGATAAACTGCCTCAAATCACTCGTGTCCCTTGGTTCTACTGAAAAACAAGACCAAAAGGAGTTAAAAGCACCCTAACAAGTAGCTTACACTATACTGGCTGGAGACTTATAGCCGGGACCGAGGCCTGAAGATTGAGGCTACAAGAGTGGTCAAGGGACGCGCCGCCGGAGGGTCAAGATGCCACCCGGCAGGGTCTGAGGGCCAGCGTGGCACCGACGGGCGTCTCGGGCCCAGACGCCCGGAGGGGCCCCTCAGGAGCCACCGAGACCCAGCCGTCTCCACCCCAGCGCCACGCACCGGCCCCGACGACTAGGGGAAACTCCCAAGTCCCGACTCCAGAGGCACCTTTCGGGAAAAAACAGCGGGGGGCCGAGGCGAGCCAGGGTGGAGTCATCCTCCACAGGGGGTGGAACTGCCTTCGGGATGGGGGAGGGGAGCGCCATCCCGCCTGAAAACGAAGGCAGGGTTTCAGTTTAAAAGACGCCATCCGGGCTTCCCTGCCCTCTCCCGCAGGAAGCTGCGGCCGCACGCCCGCGGCCCATGCAGCAGTGCAGCGCCCGACCCGCTCCGCCCTCACACTCACCAGTCCTCGGGCCCCGCCCGGCCAGCCCAGGCGCAGCTCCGAGGCGGCGGACAAGGCGCCCGAGCACGATCGGAAGAGCCGCGCAGCCCTGCCCTCAGGCGCACGGCGGCGGGCGGCGCCGCTCTAGCCCTCACGCTCCCGTGCGCTCCGCCAGGCCAGCCCCACTCCCTCCCCGCGCGCCCTGTGCCCTGCCTGCCAGGCCCCCAACCCAGGCTTGGCGGCCACACTCACCGCCTCGCTCCGCGCCTGCGCCGCACGCCTCAGGGGCCCGCTGTGAGGGCGGGGAGGTGACTAGGTGAGAGTGGGGGCTGGGGAACGGGTGGCTTGGCCTCGCAGCACACCCGGCCTGGGCGGGACCACCGGCCTCGAGTGCCGGGGGTGGCCCGGCGGCCCGCCCGCCCCCTGGCAGGCACCTCCGCGCCGCGGCGGTCCCTTCCGGGCGGGGGACCGCCCCTCCCGAAACAAGCGGGCGATTCCACCCTCTAGAATTGCTCCCGGCGAGGCTGCCGAAGGAACTTTCCCCCGCCCGACCCCGGCCCTCCCTCCCGCACGGAAGAAGTGGGAGAAGCGACGCGCGCCAGGCGCCCTTTTCCCACTAAGCTCCTCCTGGGATGTGTGAGAATGGTCTTGCTCGGGGTGGGTAAGGCATGTGGCGTTTCAAACCCCAAAGAGGGGCCGCAGCCTATTGGGGACGAAAAGGGCAGCTGTCCACAGGGCAGGAGGGTTAAGCTCTTAAAAGGTCGTGAATCATTGTTAGTCTTTAGCCGGATTCCCTGACTCAAAAAATCTTGGTGGAATGAGTGTGAAATTATAGCGGATTGGATTAGATGATTTAACTCCTTTTCCGACCTTGAGTTTCTAGGAGCAGAGGTAGAGAGGATTAAATTAAGTAAGCGTAAATAAACTTGTGAACAGGGTGTGGTCACATGTTTTATCTTTTTGACAAAGAGTTAAGGTTGTTAGTCCCAATTTACAAACTAGTAAAGTGAGCTTGTGAGGGTCTAGAGACTAGGTTTTATTCATTTGTATCCTCAGCACCCGGTTCAAATAATTGTTAAATGGATGATGAAGCCCATATGGGGTGTCATGTGCCCAAGGTCACTCTAATAGTCAGGACTGCAATCTGTGCCTTTTTATCCATACATCTACTGTGCTTTTCTTGCTTACCACATACTAACCAACCAACCACCAGATAGTTATCATAGACTTTACTCTGACCCCTTCAACTATCTCCCAGGAGATAAAAGTCATATTTGAAAGAGACACTAGTGTGTGTCTCGATTTTTACGATTTCATAACTTTTATGTGTGTGTTAAGCCCAAATAAACGAATATTTACGAATGCTGGCATGGCCTGAATAAAGTATGAAGAGATTTAGAGGCACCTTTTAATTCTAATATAGTAAGTTATGGCACGGAATAGGGAATTGACACAGGTTTGTGGAATTTGTAAAGGACAGTATGTTTCGTTCCCTCCGCTTGGGTAGTTGGGCTGTTTCTTGATCTGATACGGTGGAAGCCACTAGGGGGTGTTATGGAACCATTTTGAAGGCTTCTCTTTGCCAGCAGTGGTGAAACCACGCAGCGGTCCTGGGAAGGAGATCATTTTGCCCGCCAGCGCCGGCGCCTTCATTCCACTAGCGTTGTGCCCTGGCAGCGAGGAACTTTTGATTTGCGCTGGCAGCTGGACATCAGCTCTCTGTTGACTAAGACAACTCTACTGAGAACCAACTTACAGAAAAGGTACACCTCAACTAAATTTGGGCTTTATTTCTCACACCTCCCGTCAGCCTGGAACGGTAGTGTAATTAATCTATCTTTGGTTTGGAGTATGTTATTTCTTTATTGGCTTGTTAAGCATCAGGTGATGCTGATGCTGCTCCCAGGATCACACTTTGAGAACCACTAGCCTAAGGCTTTCCCCACCCAACCTGACATTGAGTAAATACTACAGTGCTTCTCACTATTCCACAGATAGGCTCCAGCTCTTTCTCATCTGTGTGTTTTGGTGTGTTTCTTCCACTTGCAATTCCTTTCCTTTGCTTCTGTCCGTAAGATCAAGGTCACAGTTTATCTCTTCTGTGAAGTCTTTGATTTTCCCTAGCAGAGATCTCTGATCACTCTTCAGAGATTGTATAGCATTTGGTGCTTCAGTCCACTTATCATCAAAGATGCATTTACTGTGGAGATAACGAAGCTTTAAGCTTCAAGTCCCCGCAAGTGCATGAACATCTTCTAGGATGAGGTACTTAATTTTGCATTTATAATTTTGTTATTTTTCTTAAATTGGTGCCTTCAGTTGGCATAAGCTTCTGTTCTCACAACATTTGGCTCCACCCCTGTTTATCATATTGTCTGTCCACAGACTTTGAATTCTAGTTTTATTATATTCCAGTCTGTTCCATCTCCCTGCTTAACACAGGCATAGAGCCTCAATAAAATAGTCATTGCATATCTTATGTCCAGCACTGTATTAGGTACTAGGGATACAGTATGAGCAAGATGGACATGTTCCTTGCCATGCTGGTCCTAATAGTAGAGAAGATAGGCAATGAAAGAGCATTGGAATGTAATGACTAAACATATATAAGGTAAGTAAAGAGTGTATGGGAGCTAATGACAGGTGCCTAGCTTGGTCTAAGGAGGATGGGGCAGGTAAAGAGTCTAGGGATTCAGCTTATTGAATGAATTGATAAACTCTATCCAGGTTACCTAGCCTGATGACACTAGTGTAGACCTAACTGGGCACCATAGTCCTGACTCATGAGGCAATGGCATGCCATAGTCTTGCATCAGGGACCTCACATTCCCAACAGAGAAAACTGGACTCCGTAATTCTGAGCCACCTACACGGCAGAGGTCTTCCAAGCAGCCAGCCCAGTGCTTTCAAAACCAGCAAGCCCAGATCTAGTCAGCCAGTCAGTCCACTCACTTTGCTTCCTTAAAATAGGACAGAGATAGTCTTTTGGCTTTAAAAGAATTACTCCATTTCTTCTTCTCTGAACCTCATCTCTGGGAGTCTACCTAGACTCTGTACTAGGTCAAGTTCTCGGCTATAAAAATTTTTCACTCAGTGCTCAATTTTCAATTACTATTAGTCTTTATTGTTTCTTAAACTGAATGAATCAATGAATGGATACATAAAATCAGACTAGACTTCTTTATTAGAATATTAATTATACCTTCTACAGTGTTTGTGTGGTACTTTTCATTTTCTAGAGTATTGACTTTATTTATAGCATCTGGGAAGGAAGGTCAAGTGTTGTATCCATTTGATAAATTTGAACTCAGACACTCATACCTATGAGGATCTGAAGGCTAAACCATGTCAAGGGAAACTGAGGTTAATAGATGATGAAAAGAAGTAAATAGGTATATTTGATATCCCTAGGAAGTAAATAGGTATATTTGATATCCCTAGGAAGTAAATAGGTATATTTGATACCCCTAGGAAGTAAATAGGTATATTTGATATCCCTAGGAAGTAAATAGGTATATTTGATATCCCTAGGAAGTAAATACATATCTTTGATATCCCTATGAAGTAAATACATATGTTTGATATCCCTAGGAAGAAAACTCATTAACTGGTTAGGTCTGTGGTAGGCATTACTACTGTTCAACAGTATCAAATTTCTGGTGCTCTCTACTCTCAGCCATACAGGTGATTTTACTCCCTGTCCTGTTTAAAGTTGGGTAGAGCCACATGACTTGCTTTGGTCATTGAAATGTCAGTAGAAGTGCTATGTGTCACTCTTAGGTGGAGGCAATTCATTCCGGTGCTTGCTTCTCTAGCCCTCCCTTCCACTGTCTGGAGAGCTATCAGGACACAAAGCAGACATGACATGAGCAAGAAACACTTTTGTTGTGTTAAATTGATAAGCCTTGGGGATTGTTTGTTATCGAAGAATCACTTTCTGGGAGTTCCCTGGTGACCTAGTGGTTAGGATTCGGTGCTTTCACCTGCGGAGGACCAGGTTGGGGGAACCATCTCACGTGCCACTCGGCCCAGCCAAAATAAATAAATAAATAAATAAATGAAACATTAAAAAAAAAACCCACTATGATTAAAAAAAATCACTTTCCATCACTGACTGAGACAAAGGCTAAATTTATACATTCCTTCATCCAGGGTGTGAGGCTAAAGAACAGAGTCTATTAAAATCTATATTCCATTAGTGTGTCTTTGGATTTTAAATTCAATTATTTATTCATTTAATGAGCATTTATTAAAGCTTACTAGTTGCAAGATAACTGTGGTAGCCACTATGGAGGGGACAATACAAAAATATGTTTTTAGTTACTTGTATAGCAGTCTTATCACGCCACACTGAAAATCTATGTAAATCTCTTAGAACTGTAATTTTCTTGGAGTATTTTCATGTAGCAGTTCTCATGTCTTAACACCAACTGGTGCCCCGTAGTAAATGGTAACAATGGGAGCTGCTTTTGATGATCAGGAAAATCTAGAGTTTACCTGTTCTGAACTTTGACTAGTCTAAACTGAGTAGCATTGCTTTTCCTGTTGGCAGTCAAAAACCGGAAAGACATAATTATTTATGATGATCACTAATCACAGTGACACACCACCTCCTGGAGGCAGTGGATGGGAACTCTTGGGGTCTCCCAAGTAGACCGTCTGCTTTGAGAAGGTAAGAAATCAGTCTGTCTTGCTGACTGCTAATCCCCAAAGCTTACCTAGCACAGTGCTGACAGAGTGACCACCTAATATTTATTGTATGAATGAAGCACAAAATGAAAGGATGCATGAAATCCTTACCACAGTGTAAATATTTGTACAACGTTTAGTCCGTTTTGTGTGTTCAAAGTATGTTTAATGGCAAAGATTTACTTAGTAGGCATTCCTCTCATATTCAGTTTTCCCCCCAAATATGTTTTGAAATATTAAATCTGTTTTGAAATAGGAAAATTGATATGGAGTCTTAAGGGGAAGGGTAACATCAGAACAGGCTTAGCTTGGGACTTCCCTGGTTGTCCGGTGGTTAAGACTCTGAGCTCCCAGTGCAGGGGGCATGGGTTCGATCCGTGGTTAGGGAACTAGATCCCACATGCCGCAACTAAAAGATCCCGCATGCTTCAACCAAAGATCCCGCATGCTGCAACGAAGGCCCAGTGCAGCCAAATAAATAAATATCAAAACAAAACAACAAAATAAC